GATATACGGCGGGGCACTTACTATTGGATCAGTATTTCAAAAATTTTATAACGGAAGTGTTTTGGCCACCAATGATGTGGTCATTGTTTCCGTTAACTATAGGGTCGGACAGTTAGGCTTTTTATATGGTGGCGATCAGACAGCACCCGGTAATCTGGGGTTTTATGACCAACTTTTAGGATTGAAATGGGTACATATATTAATTTAATTAAATTACTATTAATTTGTTTAATGTTTACAAAAAACTATAACTTTTATTATTGCATACAATATATATAAGTGTTAATTAATTAATGTTATTAATAGGTTCGAGAAAATATTCATCAATTCGGTGGAGACAAGGATCAGATCACTATATTTGGTGAGAGCGCCGGTAGTTGGTCCACATCGGCACACCTACTCTCACCCCTATCTAAAGGTCTCTTTAAGAGGGCTATAGTCCAGAGCGGGGCTGAAATGTTTCATAAGGATAGACCAGTTTTGGGAACTGTAGAGGCGTTGAGTAAAGCCAAGGAAACGGCCCGCAAATTGGGTTGTGATCCGTATGAACACAAATGGTTGGACTGTTTGCGAACCATTGAGGACCCGAACCTATTTCTGGAGCCGACTGAGGCTGAAGTTGCTTTTGGTGTCACGTGGCCTGTGTTTGGCACTGAATTCCTACCCGTTTTACCACAAAAGGCTTTTCAAACTAATGAATATAATTCCGGTGAATATAAAATTGTTTAGAAATATAAAAGTTTTAATTCATATAAAATGTATGTATCAGATGTGGACGTGATGGCCGGTGCGACCAAAGACGAGGGTCAAAATCTAGCAATGATGCTGTTCCCACAATTGAGGGCTGATTTCAATATAAAGAAATTTCACGCATTAATAGAACTCCAGAGAGAGATCTACCATAACATAGACGTCCAGAAAGTATCCGATTATTACCTCCAAAATAGAGACCTTGAAAATCCGCATGACTTACAACGAGCTTTCGGGGAACTGTATGGCGATTTGTTGATGGTGTGCCCCACCTATGGGTTTGCCAAGAGATTTGCCAAAAGTGGTCGAGACGTCTATTTTTATAGATTTAATTATCAGACAAATCTGTTTGCAATGTTTGGTTGCGATGAACACACCATATGTCACGGCGCAGACATCGCCTATGTTTTTGGTGAACCCGTTAGGACTCCCAAAATGTTTACGGAAACGGATTATGATTTCAGTTTAGATATCATGAAGATATGGACTAATTTTGCAAAAAACATGTAAGTTGTGCTCGATTATTTTTGATTGAAATGTTTATTTAGATAAATTAAATCAATAGAAAAGCACACAATGTTTGGCCGAAACTAATAGACATTTCGGACGCGAATTCAGTGCCAAAAGTGAAAGACTTGAATCCCAACGATATGTCACTTGTTTTGGACAATCCTTACGGAGATATTTGTGATGGACTTTGGAGCGAATACCTTGGTGAAAATAAATAAACATAAAAGGATATACATTTACTTAAAAATAATTAATGCAAAAATATAAGGAAATAATATAATTGAATTATAAATTGAAAAAAGTAATAAAATAT